CTTTCCTTTTTTGCATAGCATTCTGAAAGGAGTTTATTCCCCGTGATGTGAGATTATTCAGGTCATCTGCTGTTACCAATGACTGACATATAATACACTTTGAAAAGTCTGTATCAGACGAAAGATTTCTCTTTGATGAAAAGGCGGGATCCATTTTTCTGTATGCACATGAAAGGCCAATATACTAATATACTAACTACTCTACTCTAACACCACTACAATATGTTCTATGATGGTCTTGTTCTGTTAGTTAGCAAATTCCACCAACACCTGGAAATAAACCCAAATCTAATTATGTAAAAATTATTATATGTAGTGCATTACACCAATGGTAAATAACTAAGGGTCAGTATTGGGAAAGTCATGAAGCCAAGATCCCGCGGAAATCTTGTCCCATACTCATAAAGCAGCTGAACTATCTTGATGAATATCAACTCTGTAGATAGAAATACTCATAAAATGACAGTGAATACCTAAATCTATGATTTAAATACCTTGTTTGGTTAAAGAAACAACATCTCTCGGAACAAACACTGCTATCGATCAAAATTTTGTTAAAAACATATACCTTGCGTGTGGCCTCGTCCTTTCGCGTACGTTCCATATATCGCAGAGTACGTGACGAGATTTGTGATTGTGGATTCATGACTACACCCAAGGCTATGGATCTAACTGACTCCGAGTTATCTACCTTGATTACACATATTGGTGTTGATACAAAATAAAAACATAACATATATGAAAATCCATGGGGACAAACTAACTTAGGTAGACTTCAGACGAAATATAAACTTTATCTGAATATAAGGATACAAATTTATTAGATAGACATTAAACTCTCATTTTCCTGATCAAAATTGTGTTCAATATTTTAAATATTTTTAATAATGCCCAATATGTGATTAGTGTGAATTTTATTAAAATCATAATATAATTCTAAGTAGTATGGTCTATACGGTTATTATTATTATTGACATATATGCAAATTAGGTCATTAATATTCATAAATTGTGTTAAACGCTCAGTTAAAGATGTAATGTGGCGTACATTGTGTGTGTGCCAAAGTTCATTTAAGTCAGGTAAATATTTATCCGGATATCATTGCAAGTGTAGTGTACGCACTTGCATGCATTAATACCCTTGTCAGTAGCGCTAATAGGTTTTCCGTACCAAAGAAGAATGCCTGTAGTTAGTTATTGCAAGAGTTTCAAAAAGTCCAACATTACTTTTCACATACTTGGATAGTCCCTCCATGCAAACATTCGGTCAGAACAAATATATCAGAGGCTGTAAGGTTCAACCCTTTTTATGCATGATACGGCACACTGGCCCCCTCCCTGACTATAAGGTCATGGAACAACATTCCTATGCAGTTCTGGTAAAACCAGCTGAACTTCGCTGTTTGCTGTGTGACAACAGGATGTGGTGCATCTGTCCGCTGTCTATTCCATGTGTGCAAAATCAGGTTTGGCGAATATTATCTGAGATGCAGACACCATTGGCTCAGGTAAAAACGAATTTGTGATGAGCTTCTCTAAACACCGACTGGAGGCGAATTGACACCAATCATGGGTTAGGAGACTTAGCTTGGTCAGGACACGTCCAAGGCTCTGTAGATGTTTTGACCCACTCTTTGATGCCCCATTTGTCTGATGGAGAAACTGG